CCCCCATTGATCAACAGGGTGATTAACTCATAAATTGGGAATAAGTATGAGACAATCACCGTGGTGACTCTCATGGAAAGAACGTTCCTGACACATAATGGTGCCGGGCGACCGTCTCATTTGAGTATGAATCAGCCAAAACGTCATTTATAACAAACAATAATTATCTTTCTGCCTGAAGCTGCTTCTAGGAGCAACAGAATTCTGTAAAATGGTCTATAGGTGTGGGATATTGAAGCCCTCGCTTGCCCGCCGTCCTGAATGGCTTTAATATGACCAGTAGATACCTCACACAGCCTGGTCCCCCTAAACTGTGGGAGAGTAGACCAACATTAACACCAACAATGTCTGGTTTTACAAATGTTTACGGCGCAAATGTGTGTTTCATCATTATTCCACTCACAGGACTTTTTTTTATTTGTCATTGCACAACTATTGCAACCAAACAAGATATTTATTAAACTCTCCACCTCACTCACAAACACATTGATTTGGGCCTTGGTGAAACTACATTTCTTTGCTCTTTTCTCCATAGTTTCTATTGTTAACCATAAAACAACACTGATAAGCTGGCTCATTTTAATAGGCATTCATGAGGTGCTTTGCATCTATCGGTTTTGGGTGAATGTGGGCGTCTAGAGGTCGGAACTTTGTACGCAAACGTTAAGGTGTGCGGGCGTGCAGATGTGCGAACACATGGTTCTATGAATCTAGATTTTTTTAATTTAGGTTTTTTTTTTTTGCCCATGGCCATTTTTGGCTTTGAGTATAGATCTTACGCAATGTGACCTCTGGTCATTTTATGTTAACAAGATAAAGGCACTGAACTTAGAGTGAAATATTTCTCAGTGATATCATCAATGCTGCAAGTATACACATAAACATGGGAGCAACAAGTTATCACGCAGCCATTTGTTTTTAAGCCCTCCGTGAAGATAACAGCCTCCAAAATGACTGCGCACTTATGCGGAAAAACGTTTTGTGTACCCGATTTAGCAATGTACCCAGCTCTCTGACAGTACAGACTTAAATGGGATGGTATTCAGCCTTGCAAGTAGAATCTAGCAAATCGGGTCATTCTTATAGAAAAATGTATTTGAAAAATTATTTGAGTAAATTATTGTTAGATGTATTCTGTTTCATTAGCTCATGTAGTAACAATTCAAACAACAAACTGGCCATTTTTACCTTTTAATTTAATGTATTAATTGAATTACTCATTATTACTCATTATCATTGCAACTGCAAATCTTGAACTTAAGTGAAAAGAGAAGTTCCTCCTAACATAGTCTGGTTCTTTATTAGAATAGATTCTTTAAGGGATGAAATGGGAACACCAGGCAGATTTTGTACCCCCGTGTAGAGAATACATCTCATGTGTCAGGTCTATATGTAAATACAAACTGATTAAATAATCTTTCTTCACACACAATTTCAACCAACATTATTCATAGATTGCCGGCGTGTTGTAACACCATTTCAGATTCACTCTACGGAAACCATATATAGCTTCCCTCACACTTCCTCTGCAATTTAAGAAGAAAACACAAGCTTTTCAAATTCTGACATCAAGGAAGGATATTTCTTTTTACTAAAGGTAAAGCTGTGAGGTACAAAGTTTCTAATTGGAGGCAAAGGCATCTAATAGGCCCATTTCTAATTATCCATTAGGGGCGGAGTTTCATTTGTTCAGATGAGTTGTGTAAACTCTGGATTGTTATTCTAAAGCTACATAGATAATCTGCAGCAAAAACTAGTTTAAAAGTCTGAATTTGTAATCCAGTAAATCAGTTCTCGGCATTGAAAATCTCTCTTCTTTTTTTGGGGGTTGTTTTTTTTTGTCAGCTCCAGAGCGAAGTGGAGAAGCCTCTGCTGACTTTTAGGGAGAACTTTAAGAAGGACATGAAGAGGTTTGACCACCACATCGCCGACCTGCGGAAGCAGCTTGTTGGGCGTTACGCAGCTGTGGAGAAGGTAGGACAAACCCCACAGTGTAGCCCAGCCGGTCCCAGATCCATCCATCCCACTGGTCGTCCAGTACCGGGCGGCTGCCTCTCCTTCCTTTTTTTGTTTCTCGATTAAAAAAAAAATGATAATAAAAACAATGTGCTGCAGCCTGAAGGCAGACACAGATCCACAGATCTGTCTCACATCATCTTTTATCAGCACAGTTTTGGTCCTGAGAGGCACCCATACGGTTTTTGTCAGATAAAACTCACAAAAACTGAGACGGTCAGCACCCCCTCACACACTGAATTATCAGGGTGATGGATGGGAACGGACTGTAACCACACAACTGTCCCTTTTATCGCTTTTATTGGAATGTTTGTTGCCGCACAGTCCTTTAAAGAAAGAGTTTGACGGTCTTCTGTCTCTGACCTGTGTGTCTTATCTGCCGCAGGCCCGTAAAGCCCTGGCCGACAGACAGAAAGAGCTGGAGTTAAAGACTCAGCAGCTGGAGATCAAACTCAGCAACAAAACCGAAGAGGACATCAAAAAGGCCCGCAGGAAATCCACACAAGCAGGTGAGAGGTCAAAGGGTGGGGTTGATTTAGCTCCACAGTGGATGTGGGTGAAGATTCATAGCATCTTATTGGGGAGCCTCTTACAGCTCCTTCCTCTGACATAAAGTGGCAACCATCATTGCTTTGGGCACAGCTTCTGATAGAGAGACAGGCAGTCAATCTAACCTCTTCCATCCATCCACCCGCTTCTCCAAGGACTCATCGGAGTCAATGTCTAATTACCCACAGACCCAAATGTGGCCCCAGTTGATGAGCTGATATAGACAATACTGTCAATTTGTCACCCTTCCATAACTCTCCACTGGTCTATTTGATGTAAAAAGATGTAAAATGATCAGATTTGCAATGTAACCATGCGAAAAGCTTGAGGATACCATTTCTTTTTTCTCTTCTCTAGTTAGATTCTAGCTAATAGTGCTAGCTAATGGCCCTTCAATCCTTCAGTGTTTCTTACTAATTGCTATAACAACAAAAGTAAAGTGAACTGTTTTGATGTCTGTAATTTAAGGGAATCGTGTAAAGGAACATTGCTGTCAGTCACAATTTAAAGGGATGGTGGCGTGACTCTAAATCATGGTGCACTGATGCAGACCAATTTGACTTAAAAAAAAAAAGTCTAAATAGTTTTTTCTTTTTTGTTTTTACTGAAGCATTAAATGGTGGAATTAATCACGTCCATTCTGCTCTAGTAAACCGGAGCGATTGCTTGATAGAGTGCTGTGAACCAAGAAGCTGCGTTTGTCTTTTTAACTTGAGTCATGAGGCTTTATCAGTGCTGAGAGCCAGATGGACTCTTTTTTAATTTTTTTAAACTTGTTTATTCATTTTAAAATCGGATTCCAGTCAGGCAAGAGACAGAAACACTTTCTGCTCCACCCGTCTGTTTTCACACCAGACTGAGAGGCGTGGGTGTAAACTGACTCCACTGCCCTCAGTGGGGGGGTACACACACATACTGTACACACACATTCATATCTCACTGCTGCACATATCAGCACAACTAAGGCTTTTTATCTTTTAATGTGTAGTATGTGTCTGGAAGGTTTGAGAAACACAGTTCTGTAGTTCTGAGTGAGGTGAGACAGTTAGCTCATCTGAATTAACTCTGATGTTTTAAATCAAATAACCGACATGCAGCCCAGCACATATACACTCGTCCCCTCTATCGTTTGTGCTTAATATCCTAGCCCTAAAAGCCCTAACCCTTATTTTAAAGGATGGGAAGTGTTTAGTTTGACTTTACGTTGATAATAGTTTACTTTCTCCAGTGTATGATATTTTCCCCTCAAGATTTAAGAGAAAGTCGTTATAACCATATCATTTTTTTACCTTTAATATAGATTAAGCTGCTGGTGTGGGGGAAAAAAAGGTATTAAAAATAGAAATTCCAGTAAATGTGTGGCTCTCCATATGTGGGTTTGTGCTGTTTTCTGCAGCAGAGTCCAGCACTGTTGAGGGCTTGGAAGAAAAAAAAAACCTTTATGAGCCTTGCCCGAGTGTATGTGTGTAGTTTTTCACCTGTGTGAAAAGTACCCACCAAAACTCAAATGGCAACGCTTAGTATTGTTACACCACAGAGGAATAGGACATGTACACGATGAGCAAATATGCTCATAAAAGACAAAACATCAAAACCGGCTCTACTATAAACCCCCTTTGTTTTCTTTGATGTTTCCCTTATTTAATTACAAGACTGTTTCTTATATTCCGAGACAGCAAAAAGTATTGAGAAAGGTTGCAAACAGAGACTTGATTGAAAAGCCACTATCTCGCATCTCATTTGCTGTGATGCTGCGCATTTCCTGTTTGTCATGATGCAGATCACTCCAATATCTGCATTTAAGCAGCTTTCACCAGTTTTATGACAGAAGTAGAGCCCACTTTTTGGTTAATTTCCTTTAATATGAATTCTAAAGTTCCTTCTTTCTAGATGTTCATGTGATGTGGCATTGTAAAGGACATTTTTCGCAGCCCAGAGAATACTTTTTGGGGGGATTTGGAGCTATAATTTAAACTGAATAACTTTGGTTAGATAGAAGAATTGGTTGTAAACAGAAAATGGTCAGAAGCACATGGTTCTGTTTAAGTGTTTAAATATCTTTATTTAAACACATACTTGACACGTATGAACAATGATTGCCATAAATTGCTAATATTCACACACTGGATTGTTTACGGTGTCTTTTGACTGAAAACTGGCTAAAACTACAAAGAAAATCACAGTATTTTGTTACATTATCAAGCCAACTGTTTAAATTCTACTTCAGTTTTTTGTCCATGTTGTTTTTTTCTTTTAAAGAAATCCACGTTTTGTTTTCATAGACTTTGTTCAATTCCATTTCTATTGGGAACAAATAGTTACAAACATCACCTGAAGGACACAGTCCAAATCAATCCAGTTAGAATCCAGTGTTTTTTACAGTCATAATCCTAACAAATCCAGTTTCAGTAAATTCCAAAT